TTTGGGGACTGGAACGCGTGTTTTTTTGGGGGGGGTGGGGAGGGGCTGAGGAACACGTGGCTTGGGGGCTGTGGAACCGAGGTTTGGGGACTGGAACCGAAGTTTGGGGGCTGGAACCGTGGTGTTGGGGCTGTGGAACCGAGATTTGGGGACTGGAACCGAGCTTTGGGGACTGGAACCGAGGTTTGGGGACTGGAACCGTGTGTTGGGGCACGTGGTCCCGGCGGCGGCGGGAGGTGCCCACACGCTCACAGCGGTTTTGGCGCCGAGGGAAAAGTTCTGATGAGGGCAGAGCTCTGCCGAAGTGGGGTCGGGTTGTGTTGAGCGGTGGTGTCGGCCAGCAGCGGCTGCAGGACCCCTCCTAATGATACGAGCTGCTGGTAACTAAGCTAAGGCAATGATGTACTGAAGTGGCTGCCAGCCATTCTTGAAGCATCCCATTAAAACCTTCACCTTTTAACCTCCGACACAGTAAATTATACCCTTTTACTGGAAGATAATAGAAACACTGAGGTGTTAAGTGATGATATCACATAAACAGGACTACGTAAGCTCGTCTGATGATTGAGTTCATACATCAAATGCTATTATTGTTAATTGTTTTTTTTTTCAGCAGCCCGATCTGTTGCTATTTTGTTATATTGCTATATATAATATAATATATAATATTGCTTTATTGTGCTGAGAGGATGGACTGTGTGGTCTTTCCCAACTTTGTCCTGTGCTTAGAGAGAGCAGATGTGATCACAGAACTTGACTTGAGAGGTCTCAGAGAAGGAGAAGCACTCTTTATATTTTATATATCAGTGTTGTTACTTGATCAGAGAGATCAAATTCTGCACAAACCTGTGTTAGAAAGTTGTTCGTGACGTGCAAGAAGATGTTTGACTTGGTCGGACTAATCCAGGATCACAGTTCGGGGGCTGAGCTTAAATAGTGTTATCTGTAAGTACTTCAAGGTATGAGCACCAGAAAAAGGGTTCTTTAGGCTGACTCACCATGAAGGTGCTACAGCTGTAACTGTATGCAAGCTGCTCTTGAATAAATAGGGGTGGAAGTTAGTACTTATTGCAGTGACTGGGAACTAGGTGAGAAGAGTTCGGCAACTCTGCTTTCCAGATGGAGCTTGGTCATTCTGTTAAAGTGGTACTGTGGTACTTTGTGTGGCACTGATGGTGTGAAATCATCACACTGATGCCCTGTAGGATAGGAGGAACCCCTCAGTAACTGGATTGTGTTGGGTGTGGACTATGCCTGTTCTCAGGTGCTTCAAATAATTAACCCATCAGAAGACCATGGGGGAAAAAAGTGCCATCAGTTGATCAGCTGATGAGCTGGAGAATTCAGTCAGTTGAGGAAGAATCTCATGGATGCCACAGCTGATAGAAGAAGAGAGGAACAAAGCAGAGGCACCAAATTCCTTCTCCTTTGATGTGCTCAGCCCTTATTGACTTAGCTCAGCCACTTGAGAACTGAACTAGGCCTGTGGTTTTCCTTTTATTTTATTGTGCTGCAGTAGTACAATTGTGAGATGTTGGAAGGAATTTTGTTGGTTGGCTTGCTGTGTAATATCACAGGTTATTTTGGAATTGGTTTAGCTACCTGTCATTTCCTTGTTAGGGATAGAGGAAGGAGGGAGCAGCCAGGTGGCATTAGGTGTCTGCAGAGGAAAAATTTGATGGACCGTGTGTAAGCATATGTAAAGCTGTTAAAAGTACTGTGCTATGGATACAGAAGTTCCTCTTTGTTCCTGTTTAATGATCCTCCATGTTTAAACTCCTAGAAGGTTTTTGTTTTTTATTGTTGGCTGTGAAATGTAAAATGTTTTTAGCTTTTAATATATTTTTCATGCATTTGTAGCTTCTTAGACTGTTAATAAATGTTGTAACTTCTAGTACTTTTCCTGTCCTCCCCCACAGTTTGCCAAACCCTTATAATACATTCTTGAAATTCTGTTTACATTCTTGCCTTTAGTCTAGCAAGGATATTTGGTTTTGCACCTTATATTGTAGACACAGTAAAGTTTAGGCTAAAGAAGATTGAGGGGGCTCCAGTGGGGCAGAACCCAGGGGGAAATTACCTAACCAACTGCTCTTCTTACTGGACAATATTTGATAGGTATACTAATAAATGTTATAAAAATTTTAGAAATACTGTATCATCTGTGCATATCACCATATTGTGCACCATTAAGGCTTTTAATTAAAGACTTGCATTTATATTATCATTTTAACGCTGTTTGGAAAAGTTTTGTGTTTTATTCCAGGCAACAGCTGAAGTATTCAGGTATTTCTTGATGCTAGAGAATGAAGACTGAATTTCCAAATGTTAAAGTCAGTTTAAATATTATCTTTGTATCTTCCTGTTTGCTTTCTCTGAACAACTATACCTGAAGGTATTTGAGTTTTTTTGGAAGGACTGTGGTGTAGAAGCAGGATATCAGGGTATGTCTTGTTAATGTGATATGTGACAGGAAGCAAATGATGAATAGAAACCAGCTGACTGCAGCATTTGTCACTAAAAAATGAAGTGATACCCTTCTTGGGAAATGATTTTTGCTTAAACTTTGAGAAGTATTTTTATGTGGCAGTTAAAAGCTTTTAATATGCCATTCTTATGCTGCAGTTACTTAGGCTTGGCAGGGCAAAGACAGAGAAAACAGCCAGTCCCTTAAGGAATGGGTCAGCCCAATGCAGTTCTGAAAAGTGTGGGATGTTCCATGAGGGAGCCATCCTGGTATGTGAACATCCCCATTGCATTACCACTGTAGCTGCACCAGGTGATGCTTGCAGTGGGAATGCCACTAGACTGATTTAGTTCTAAGAATGTGGTGTATGACATCTCTGTTTTCTGCAATGGATTATCAGGATTAGGATTTTCTGTGAAGTAAACAAAGCAACAGGTAGAAACAACCAAGTCACATGGAAATCCAAACCTACAGTGAATGCAGTGGTGTTGCATCTTTTCCATCAAGTCAAATCTCTAGGAAAATTTAACATTTTCTTCTAACTAATCTTAGGGCTTTTTTAAGGTAATTTTAACCTTTCTGGCAACTCATGTTGCTCTTCTGAGTCTTTGCAGTAATTTGGTAGCTACTAGGAGATACAGTGAAGAGAGTATCACCAGTATCTCATATTGTCATGCAGTTTAGTGCTTATGTCTGAACATTTGGATAGAGGTGCTCGATGAAGATGAGGTATTTTGTGTGAAGCGTAAGTATTTGCTTCTGCTGTACACTAAAGGAAATACTTGGTTTCTAAGATCTGACCCAAATGCTTTCAGCATGTTTAAATGTTAAGTGATCTGGTCGGTATGAGAAAAAGACTTTGTGTGATTATTTCTTTACTAACTATTGGTTTGTAACTCTTTTCAGTTTTCAGTGAAGATTGTCATGCATATATTAGTTATTTAGGCGACGTACGATCTGCACAATCCTGTCCTCGTTTCTGCTGTGGATCTTGTGTGAATCGATACTGCTGCTCTAATATATTACTAAAATTTGACGAACAAAATTGCAATCAGCGTAATCAAAGGTATGAATTTATACAACGCATTATAATTCTGTTATCAAATGAGAAAAACACTCTGTTTAATGGTTAAATCTTCCTAAATGACCTTTCTCCTCTATATCTCTATCAGGCTCTATCAGGGATCAACATTAATGCTTGTTACTTAGCTGTAAAATGGGAACAATGAGCTGGATAAATTAATGCATGAACTGATGTGATTATCTTGAATTATCTTATTATATTTGTGAATTATCTTCTTGATAATTTTCAAATACTTACACTCTAATTAATTTTTCTGAGGATGCCTGACATAGAAGACTCTCTGAAAGCTTTAAAGAAGTTAAGCGAGAATCTGAGGTAACTCCGTGAACTGCTGTCCAACAACTGGTTGGGATGAAGCTTTAATATGCTTTTTTTTTACCTTGGTGGGAGGGCTTGATACAATATGCACTGATGTTTGTTAAAATGAGTGTCATTATCAGTATTACTACATCATGTGGAAAGTCCTTGTTATTGAAAGCTTAACTTCACACTTGAATGCTCCAGGACACCAGGTAGGTACCACTGGTTTGTGCTCCAGATGGAGAATGTTACCAAGTGAAAGGCATCCCAAAGGAGCAGAGAGGACATCTGAAACTCCACTCCTATTGTCGAGTTCTGACTGTAGTGGAAAATTGCCAGCCTTGCTGCGGAGAATTGTTGAGGCTGGTTGAGCACAAACCAGAATTGAGCCACTTGCTTATCTTGCACCTGACTCAGGCAGGGCTTAACCACTGAAGGATATCTGGAGTGAAGCACTGGCCTGAGCTCCATGTTGTCTCTGGGAAGCACAGAAAAGCACCCACATATCTGCAGGGAAAACAAGCATCACTCCCCTTTACCCAGGCATAAGAAGCCTTGTTCAAAGTACAGATCTGGTCCTTGGAGGCCATGATGATGTGCAGTTGTAGTGTGGGAGACTGTCAGATATCCTTTAGCTAGGTGGAGGAGGAGGTGACACTGAAATGTCACATTTCTGTTCTGCTTTTAGTTCAGTTTCTGAGCAACAGAAACCCTTATAAAATTGGTGTTTGGTTTTTCCCATGTAGAGGATGAGAATATGACCCCACTTGGTGGACAAATTGTTGTGCTTGCTCCTCTCTCCTCCCCAAAGCAGGGATGCCTGTGTCAGAGAATACCTGGGTGAAACTAAGCTTAATTAATGGTGAAGGTGTGGTTAGTAAACGGCTAAATTTGTTGGTTTTTTGTTGTTAATCACTGACCAATTTTAGTTAGTTAGGGCTAATGCAGTAAATGCATTTATCCTCAGCTGCTCCAAATCTATGTATGGTCTATTTAATTTTGTAAAACTGCCTTGGAACAGTGCCATCAGGCAATTGTCAAATCCATACTTTTACCACCAAAGACAACAAAAAGAATCTCTCTTTTTAGTGTACATTACCTTTCATAAGCACTTGAGACTTAGCTAGGTAACTTGAATAAGTCATAAATTCCATGTTTTGAAATGAATTCTCTTGTTACAGGGTCTCTGACTCGCAGATTTTTGAGGATCCTGATGATTTCTTAGATGCTCCTGACCCCAGGTAAGCCATGCAAGATTTTACAGTGGGATTTGTGTACAGGTTCTTCATTGTGTAATCAGGACATGGGGGCTTGGCAGTGCTCAGTTAACAGTTGGACTTGGTGATCTTAAAGGTCTTTTCCAGCCTGAACAGTTCATGATTCTGTGCTGCTAGAATATGAAAATAGAAATACTCGTGTGTTAAGAGTGTGGAGGACTCAAAATCTGTGTACATATTGGAAGGAGGAGAGACATGAGGAAGAGGCTGGATGTTGCTATTTAGACCATAACAGTCTCTGTATATAATAATCTGTATCCTTCCTGCTGAACAGGAGGTTGAAGCATTAGCACAGAATTACAGAACAGTTGGGGTTGGAAATGACCTCTGGAGATCCAGTCCAACCCTCCTGCCAAGGCAGGGTCACCTGGAGCAGATGACACAGGAATGTGTCCAGGTGTGACTTGAATGTCTCCAGAGGGGAGACCCCACACACTCCCTGGGCAGCTTCTTCCAGTACTCTGTCATTCTTAACATAAAGAAGTTCTTCTTCATGATGAGGTGGAACATCCTCTGTTTTAGTTTATGGCTGTTACTCTGTGCTTTGTACTCTCAGAAAATCCATAGTGGCTCTGGAAAAAAAGTGCTTTTGTTTGAAGTATCTCCTTGGTGTTCTATCATCTTTTGCAGTTAGTTTTTATCAGTATTTCTCCATCTGTTTCAATATTGGGAAGAAGTAAATTCCTTTGAGCTTATATTGGTGATGACACAAGTCCCGCTGTGAAAATGTGTCAGTTTTTCACAGTGCAGAAGATGCTGAAGAGAGGGCAGGGATTAATCACAGAATGTTAAAGGGTTGGAATGGACATTAAGGATGATCTATTCCCAGCCTCCCCCTGCCATGGCCAGGGACATGGCCCACTTACTGAAGGTCCCATCCAGCCTGGCCTTGAACACTACCAGGATTGGGGCATCCACAACTTCCCTTGGCAACCTGTTCTAGTGCATCACCACCCTCACAGTAAAAACTTTCTTCCTAACACCCAACCTAAATTTCCCCTCTTTCAATCTGTACCCATTACTCCCTGTCCTGCCACTCCAGTTCCTGACAAACAGCCCCTCTCCGGTTCCCTGTAGCCCCTTCAGACAGCTGAAAGTGCTGTGGGGTGTCCACACCAGCCTCTCTTCTCCAGGCTGAACAGCCCCAGCTCTCCCAGCCTGTCTCCTCAGGGGAGGTGCTCCAGCCCTCTTATCAATATCGTGCGTGTCCTTGTTCGGCTGGGGACGCCTGAGCTGCGCAGTGCCGCTGAGCTGCTGATGTCTCTGCCTGGCTTCGGGCGCTGGGGCTCCCCTTTAAGGGGCGGTGCGCTCGCCGTGACGTGCGCGGGGCCGGGCGGCGGGCGCGGGGCGAGCGGCGGTGGCGAGCATGGGGTAAGCGGCGGGGTTCGGCGGGCTCGGG